GGGGGGGGGGGGGGGGGGGGGTCAGCCCCACAGCTCTGTGTCCCCCCCCTGCCCCACAACAGTTCCACTACGACCACAACCGGGCCCAGTTCTATGTGGAGGACGCCAGCACCGCCAGCGCCCTGAAACAAGTGTCCCGAAAGATCACAGACAGGGATAACTACAAGGTGTGGGGGGGAAGGTCCTGGAAGGTCACAGGGGTGCGGGGTGGTAGAGTGGGGTGGGTTGGGAGGATCCTGGAAGGTCAAAGAGTGGGTTTGGTTGGGTTGGAACGGTCCTTAATTGTCTTACAATGAGTTTGGTTGGGTTGGAAGGGCCCTTGAAGGTCACAGAATGGGTTGGGTGGAGTGGGAAAGGTCCTGGAAGGTCACAGGGGTGTGGGGTAGTAGAGTGGGGTGCGTTGGGAAGGTCCTGGCAGGTCAAAGAGTGTGTTTGGTTGGGTTGGAAGAATCCGTTATGATCTTCAAATGAGTTTGGTTGGCTTGAAAGGGTCCTTGAAGGTCACAGAACGGATTGGATCAGGTTGGAAGGGTCCTTGAAGGTCACAGAGTGGGTTGAATAGAGTGGCCAAGGTCCTTGAAGATTATACAATGAGTTGGGTGGAGGTGAAAAAGTCCTTAAAGGTTGTAGAACGTGTTTGGTTGCGTTGGAAAGGTCCCGTAAGGTCATAGAGCCACGGAAAGGGTTGCGTTGGGTTGGAAAGGTCCTTGCAGGTCATAAAAAGCCCAGCGCAGGAACGAGCGCGGTTGCATTGGATGCTTTTTGAAGGTGGTGATCATCATCAACTCCTCAGCTCCACCTCAGTCCCTGCAGAACGAGCTGAAAGCCGAGGAAATCGAGCAACTGAAGGTGGGGGAAAGGCTTGGGGGTGGCGGGGGGGGGGGCTTCAGAGGGACCCCCCCTCCATCCCGTGCCTTTTTTTGATCCCCCCTCCTCACGTTTTTGGATCCTCCCCCCACTTTTTCCCCTTTTTGGACCTTCATGATGCAGGTCTGTATGAGTAAGAGGTACGACGGTTCGCAGCGGGCGTTGGATCTCAAGGGTCTTCGTGTCGACCCAGGTGGGCTGGGGTGGAAGGGTCCTGGAAGGTCATGGGGTGGGTTGGAAGGGTCCTGGAAGGTCGTGGGATGGGTTGGAAGAGTCTGGCAAGGTCATGGGGTGGGTTGGAAGGGTCCTGGAAGGTCGTGGGGTGGGTTGGAAGGGTCCTGGAAGGTCATGGGATGAGTTGGAAGGGTCATGAAGGGTCATGGGATGTGTTGGAAGTGTCCTGGAAGGTTGTGGGGTGGATTGGAAGGGTCCTGGAAGGTCGTGGGGTGGGTTGGAAGAGTCCTGGAAGGTCGTGGGGTGGGTTGGGTTGTGATGGAAGGGTCCTTGATGGTCATAACACATATGGAGTTGAATGGAAGGATCCTTGAAGCTCTTAGAACAGGTTGTGTTGTGTTGGAAAGGTCCTGGAAGGTCTGTAGAGCCCCAGAATTACTTCTAAGCTGTCCCTCCCCCCCCATCCCATCCCATCTCCCCCCCTCCCCGTCCCATCCCGCAGATCTGGTGTCGCAGAACATCGACGCGGTGCTGAACCAACGCAGCTGCATGATGGCGGTGCTGCGCATCATCGAGGAGAACATCCCCGAGGTGAGGGGGGGGGGACGACGGCCACGACATCACCCTTCTTCCCCTGCCCCCAACCCGGGGGTCCCGCTGACCTCCCCCATCTCCTCAGCTGCAGTCCCTCAACCTGAGCAGCAACAAGCTGTACCGCCTGGACGACCTGTCGGAGCTGGCACAGAAAGCGGCCGGCCTGAAGATCCTCGACCTGTCGCGCAACGAGGTGAGAGCAGCGGCTCCACGGCTTCAGTGCTGGGGCTGGAAAAGGATTCGGAGGTCACCGAGTCCAACCTCAACACCTCACCGCCATGAAAACGTGGAAGTGAGGTTGGGGAAGTCGTCCAAGGTCACCAAATCTGACCCATCCCCACCATGCAGTCATGGAGTTGAGGTTGGGGAAGTCCTCCAAGGTCACCAAATCTGACCCATCCCCACCATG